CCTGTATACAGTACAGTACAGTTTGCAAGTTACCTCATTCTGCTCACTCCCTTTTGGAAATTTTAGTATCTAATCTTACAACATTGTTTACACTTTCATCCTGGTATATTTCTTTGTGTATATTTTGTACATGTACAAGTTTATATTTTTTAGAAAGCTTTCTACATTTTTTTAAATTTCATTCTCATCCCACTGATGAGGAAGTCGAGATACCATACCACTGATGAGGAGCAATGGTGCCAAGATACCACACCACTATACCACCAGTTGTACAAGGTACCACACCACTGCTGAGGAGCAATGGTGCAAGATACCATACCACTAATGAGGACCAGTGGTGCAAGATACCACACCACTGATGAGGACCAATGGTGCAAGATACCACACCACTGATGAGGACCAGTGGTGCAAGATACCACACCACTGATGAGGACCAATGGTGCAAGATACCACACCACTGATAAGGACCAATTGTGCAAGATACCATACCACTTGTGAGGACCAATGGTGCATGATACCACACCACTGATGATGATAAGCATTCGGTTTCCACACAGCCCGAGTTGAGTCATTGAAATGAAAGTCTTTAGAATTTAAATTGAAACTGAACATTTCCGAAAATCTGTAACCTATCAAAAACCTTGTCAAAAACACAGTGAAGATTTTAAAAACAATGTTACTTCTTAGCTTTTTTGGCATAAAACTCTAATTGTAAACAATTTCTGAATAGTAGGAAATGTTCAATTCAATTGTCATTGTATGCTTTTTGCCAATTTTTCATTTCAGAGCAATTTTATTCACTATCAACAATATGAAAATGGAGAAAGTTAGTATAAGTATGTCATTATTTTTGGAAAATATTTCATTTTCATTGAGACAAATATTAATTCAGAATTCTTTATTGTTATAAAATTGATAGGTCCCTTAAAATTCATGTTGTGGCATGATGTACATTAATTCAATCGAAATTAAGAAATGTTTACTTCTAATATCCCTCTTGTGCTACAATATGTGTAAATTATTCTCTTCCATTTTCATATGTTGTTAAAATCTAGATTAAGTGATGTTTTAAAGAAAGTGTTGATGATTAAATAGGTTTTAACTGTAAATTTGTAAATTTATCTGAAGCACTGTCATTCTTATTCAAAATTGAATTTGGGAAAATTTTATATATATATTTTCAAATTGATGTTTTTCTTTTGCTTAAATACAATTCATCACTGTGCTTTATAATTTGGATAAAATAAACATCTAATTTGTGTAGTATACATTTTTAAATTGGTCAATTCAAAAAAACACAACAAAACTTGTGTTATAAATATATTGAATAACAGATGACATTGTGGTACTTCTGATAGGTAGAATATTTTCTTTTGTTATAAAATGTATTGTACATTATATTTACCAAATATGGAAAAGGAGAACACAATTTTTGTTTACATAATTAAATCATTCAATAGCATTTAATTTTAAAAAAAATCTCTCGTTTGGTATGACAAGTTATTTACCACAACAAATCTTTTAAAATTTAATTGAACATTCTTAAAAATTGTATTTGAGGAAATAAGATTCTCCTTTTTCATGTTTTGATATATAATTCGTGGAAAGGTGTATGTATATCTATTGTTTATAATTATAACATTAATTTTACTTTGGAAAATGAAGACAAACTAATTACACTTGTTTTCAAAAATTTCTGGTAAGATCTTTAAACTTTTGATCGAATATTTGTAGCAAAATTTCCCTAGTGTTAATCTACTCCCATGAAGGATCAAAACATCCTATAGAGGGAAAATCTTAATAATCTTCCTTGTTTTTCCTAGTAATTACATGTCATGATTTTACTACCAACATAAATTGTTTAAATTTTAAATTTCCAAATTTTTTATTTTATTTGAAATTTATACATCTACGTTGAAATTTGAAATTGTTCAAAATATTTCTAATTGGCTATGCTGCAAAATTTTACAAACAGCAAATCATGTGTGTGCATTAATGAATTGTGCTTTCGAGTAATTACATAATGTCTCCATTTTTCAAATCCTCATTAGCAAGGAACAAGACAGACATTTCATTTAAAATAATTTGATATCAAATTTCTGGTTGAGTATTCTATTATTGTAATGATTTCACTTTCATTAGTTTTTGGTTTACTTTTACAAAAAATTTTTCGAAATAAATATAAAATTGTAGTTATTCAGCTGCAAATCCAAGAAAAAGTTCAAAACAAATTCAAATATTTTGGATGAATTATCCAACTAAATTTCAATCAATTAGAAAAAATGAAATTAATAATCTCACAAAATTTTGAAAAAATTTAATACTTCAAATTAAAATGTAATTGTTTTGGTTTTGCTGATGAGGTTCTTTTTTCTTCTCTTCCGTTGTAAACAATGTTTTAATTTTTTTTTTTTGTCTCACAAAAAATCTGGCTGAAGGGATTAATTATTTTAATGTTTGAAGTAAGAATTTAAAATAATAATTGCAACAAAATTTAACTTAATATTATTGATGTAAATG